GGAAGAATGGTTTGAGGAAGCACAGAAGCGCCGTGAGTTGTTAGTACACAGGAGAGGTGATGGGAAACGTTCAGAGCTGAGACATAGAACACCTGGGAAAAGAGAGAGAGAGAAGCACAAAGAGGAGACAGACGAGTTGAGAAAATGATGAAAGGAGAATATATACGGCATACACTAATGTACAACAGGTGAGTGTGGTGGGGAGGTGGGTTAGTGAAAAGGATCATTCAAACCTCTGCAACAGATTACACGACTCCCTTGCAAACTGCCCCTTTAACTCTTTCATGCCCAGAGTTCAATAAAGCCTTGCTGCCCAGGTGAAATTTAGCAACATCAATATGCGTTGGTCAACTTTACTAAAACTCAATGACCAATTTGCCTATATAAACATTTTGGACATATTTTTCTAAGAAGACATAGAATTTTATATGGTACACTGTTTAAAAACTCCCTTAATCTATGCTAACAAGTGGACAAAAAACTGAACAACAAAATATACAGGTGAAACTCGAATAATTAGAATATCGTGCAAAAGTAATTGCAGTAAGTGCTGCAAAAGGGGCCCAAACCAAGTACTGAGTACATATGCATGCTTGTACTTTTCAGAGGTCCGATATTGTTCTATGTACAATCCTTGTTTTAGTGATTGCATGTAATAATCTACTTTTTTGAGGTTGTGGATTTGGGGTTCTTGGGGTTTTCATGAGCTGTAAGCCATAATCATCACAATTATGACAAATCACGGCTTGAATTATCTTGCTTTGCAAGTAATGAGTCTATCTCATATATTAGTTTCCCCTTTTAAGTTGCATTAGTGAAATAAATGAACTTTGCACGATATTCTAATTATTCGAGTTTCACCTGTATATAATATTTCAATACAGTCAACTTATTAGACAATTACAGTATTAAACAAAGGCACGCTGCCATCTTCAGGTTGCAGTGACCTCTAAGCAGCAACCATTACTTTCTTTATTCCATAGCTGGGATAGTGATCACATGATCCATAATGACAGAGTGGTTCCCAATCCCTAGTGGGGAATGAAGCTGAAAATGACAGCTAGCAGCTCTGTACACTGTTGACTTGTACATGTCAATGGGAGGATGTAGGTGAATGTATCCTCAGCAAAGGGCGACCATGTGGGCAGGAAGGGGTTTCAAGGCTCTTATCTAAGAATTAAATGCACCACTGTCCCGGCTGTCCAGCAGTCACTGTGGTGTCAAACATTATATATATATTTATTTTGTTTATGGAGATGTAAACCATTATAATCCCATATAAACCATCCACCACCCCCTGGCACAGTGTTTGAGTGTCAGACCACTTGAGAGCTGGGCCGCTGCTTTGTATGACTCTCCTATGTCCTCAGGCCTGTGTAGACTCCAAGTTGTGAAAGGAAGGTAATTACTATCAGGGATGCACTGATGTCGTTTTTTTGGCATCGAGTACGAGTACCCATATTTTGCTTTCGGTACTCCCGATACCGAATACCAATAGCGTTGCTTCCGCTGGCATAGAGCCGGCTTCCTGGGCTACTTGCGGTTTGCCCAGCTTGATTGTGATTGGCCGGGAAACCGGCTTCTCAGCCAATCAGCATTGAGCCGGCTTCCCAGCCAATCAAAAAGCCCGGCGGTGCGTAATGACCCGCCTCCCTGCTTCCTGATTGGCCGGGAAGCCGCCTCCATGCCGATTAGCTAATCCCGGCTAATCAGGACGAAGCCGGCTGTTTGGCCAGCTCGATGCCGATTGCCCGGGAAGGTGGCTCCATGTTCCCCTACGGCACTGCCGGTCAGAGAATATCTTCCTCTGACCGGAAGTTCCGGTATCAGGGAAGGTATCGGAGCATTTGGGTGAGTACAAGTACCGATATTAATACTAATATCGTTATCGGTGCATCCCTAGAAATTAGCACAAAGCACAGGTTGACTAACTACAAACCGAGTGATAATCTGCTGACTTGTAAAATCTGAATGCACATATTCAAGTGAACTAAATTGTGTCATTCACTGGAAAAAAAAGATGTTTTCCAAGTTTGGCTGCATTGCAAATCAGTTACCTGGCCTCTACCCCTGACACGGCACTGCCTCATACTAAAATATCCTTCTGCACAGCATGTGGACACATACCGGGTTGGCTTGTCCCACTCCTCCTCGTTGAAGCTCCCATCCAGGAAGGGGTAGCTTTTCCTGTGCTCCACCGGTGGCGTGCTCATCTTCTGCCGACTGGTTCTCCACTCATGTGGGTGCAGAGAGAGACCCACAGCCTGATGTATGAAGTTCCCTGTGTGGGTAAATAGAGAGACGGTGTATGTGTTAAAGCAGTGGTTCTCAACCTCTGTAACCTCAGGACCCGCTATTGTTCTTTGTCATTGAGTCATGGCCCAAGTCGCACCACACTGGAACGCACGGCATTGCAGTGCAGCGCGTTCTGGTGCGGGCGATTGAACTGTGGGTGGGAGGTGCATTTGAGGTGCCATTCAAATGAAAAGCAACGCAACACACCTTCCACAGCAGAATTCTCGTTAGGTGCGATTTTCCGCGGTAAAGTGTGTTCATTACAGATTTAATGTTAATTACTGTACTAGTGTGAACAGGCCCTCAAAAACACTGACAGACACACAACCACAAATATTCTCTCACACACACCCTCCCTCAATTTTTGTTTTCTTTTTGTAAGCTCCACCCAGTATTCCTATCTTATCCAGAACTGGAGTGGATCCTCAGCCTGGTGTCCAGCGTGGGCTGCTGTGCTGTGACGGAGCTCCATCTCCATATGTGCATTGCTTGTACAGCTCCCTTGCGCGCCCTGAAGAGGTGCAGATAGCCAGAGTGTGCCGTCACTCCGGTCCAGACACCTCTACAGGACACGTGAGGGAGCTGTAAGCAAAGCATGTATGAATGTAGCTCCCTTGCGGCCATAGCCCCATCCCACCTCTGGCTGACATTCGGCATAGGGCAGCATATTTTGAATGGCTGCTTGGTGTCAGAACTGACAGTGCTGTGCTAGGGGAAGGCATGTGGTGACCCACTGAAAACGGGGTCGCGACCCACCAGTTGAGAACCAAGGTGTTAAAGGGTACCTATGGCCAAAAACTAAAAAATATATTTATATATATTGAATTGCCGTACGTTCTATCCCACTCCTTATAACCATATTCATCTAGAAGTTAGTAAACTGAAGATGCCCATATTATGGACTTCAAAGCACTGACACACTCTAACAAAGCCTTCCTTCTGAACTACAGCTCAGCGTCTGAACAATGTAACATCATCATCGCTTGCTGGAAGCAATGCATCATGGGATATGCAGTCTTGAGAATTGTAGATTACATCACATCAAGAAGCAGGGGAAGAGAAGCAAAGCACATCGGGAGTCCAGGAAGTTGTTGGAAGTGATGGACAGACGGAAGGCGGCGCTCACTACATAAAAGGGATTTCTTCATGTAAGCTTTGATTGTATTATCAGACACAACTCTACTATGTATTCCTATTACAATGCTGATGTCATGACATAGAAGGATATGCTGGGACTTTACAACTCCTTTAAAGTGCATACACTAAGAGGGGCCCCCAACAAATCCTTTCAGCCTTCCCGAGTGCTTCAACTAGGGTTGCCACCTTTTCTTCAAGCGAAAACCCGAACACACTCTAGCGACGTGCGGAATTTTTGGGGAGAATGAGCGGTGGCTAATTCAAATGTCAATAGCGCCGCCCATTCATATGTAAATATCACAGTTGAGGCTATTTTAAGTGGGGGGCCAGTAGCCACTATCTTCATTTTGGTTGCCCCTGTCTGCCTGACATCTTGTGTCCAGGTTTCTGCTGCCATGAAACCCGGACACAGCATTCAAAACCCGAACTGTCCGGGTGAATCCTGGACAGGTGGCAACCCTAGCTTCGACAGCAAACTCAATCTACATTACAGAGACCAGCTTCAAAGTGGGGGTGCAGGCACATTTACCACTGCACCCACCCCTGAATCTCTCGATGCAATGGACTTTACCTCCGTAAGAGAAAGATGACGGCAGCAGCTATAAACTCGGAGCTGCGCATTCATTTCTGCATACCAAGAAGCCAGGCCCAGAGCTCATGGGCTTCAAGGGTGAGCATATAGGAAAGCACAGAAAGCATTTCAGCAGTGTGGTGTTGCTCATCCATAGTTCAATGAGCAAGCTGGAGGTGGGGATAGGGTGACACAGCAACCTGCAGGCTGTGAATGCTGCTACCGTCCTGCCTATGCAGTGTGGCAGGGGTGTGTGGATCACAAACCTGACTAATCAGAATTAAAACAATTTCGGCAGGTGAAAACAGCTCACATTGATTAATTCCAGTTGTGTATATAGCTGTTTGGATGCAGTTCCACTTCAATACACCTACCTACTAAGTTCTCCCAGCAAGTTTTTTCCTGGAAACAGGTACAAATTGTTTAACAACAATAAACAGAGTTCCTGTCTGCCGAACCAAAGCTAAAACAATTGTCTTAGTTGCCTTAATAACCAAAACAGTCAACCAGCAGGCAGTAAAGGTTTCCTACAAGCTGCAGTGATGTTATTAGCAGGGTTAAGCACTGAAAGTGGCCCATTGTCTATGGCTGCCCGGTCCACTTTATTGATGATAATGCAAAGTAAGGAGGCTGCAGCTTACCCTGACTGCTATATCCCGTCTCAATGCCAGAGCCGTCCCACGACTCGAGGGCGCTGTCCACGCTGGGGATTGTGGTGGAGTAGATTTCCGACAGCTTGCTGGTCTTCTGTGAGTCTGTCAGGTCATCTTCCGGGTCGCTTCCTTCATTCACTCCATCGGAGAGCTTTTGCGAGAGAGGCCCTGCAATGTGATCCAAAGAAACAGGGTAAACCCAGAGGAAGCAACCATGCACCTAGAACATCAGCACCATTATCCCGTGTCTGGCAGGGGCATAGGTTTAATGCCATATACATTTAGAGTAGTAACTCCTTTCTTAAAGGATGGCTCTGTTGAAGATTTCAATCGAACAAAACCAGCCAAAAAGGTAGGCAGCTACTTCTGTACTCTCTCTTTAGAAACAGCACCCGTAGGGCTCTGGGAATCCTTTGTCATATATACATACAGGCCAATCAGCCATAAGATTATGACCACTGAAAGGTAAAGCTAATACCATTATCTTGTTATAATGGCACCTGGAAGTGGGGGGGATATATTACAATGGCACCTGGAAGTGGGGGGGATATATTACAATGGCACCTGGAAGTGGGATGGAATATATTACAATGACACCTGGAAGTTGGGGGGCGGGGGGGGGGATAAATTCGGCAGCAACTGAACATTTTGTTTCTGAAATTCATGTGTTGGAAGCAGAATAAAATGTTCACCTGTAAGGATTTGAGCGGCTTTAACAAGGGCCCAATCATGATGGCTAGACAGCCAGGTCAGAGCGACTCCAAAACTGCAGCTCTTGCGGGATATGTACCTGGTCTGCAGTGGTCAGGACCGAGCAAAAGGGGTCCATGGAAGGAAAACCGGTGAACCGGAGACAGGGTCATGGGCAGCCAAGGCTCATTGATGTACGTGCGGAGCGAAAGAAGCCCCACCTTGCAACTTACAGGACTTAAAAGATTTGCTTCTGAAGGCTTGGTGCCAGATACCACAGCATACATTCAGAGATCTAGTGGAGACCATGCCTTGGATGGGTCAGGGCTGTTTTGGGTACCTACTCAATATTAAGTGGGTGGTCTTAATGTTATGGCTGATCTATCTATCTAATATATATATATATCTATCTATATATCTATCTATCTATCTATCTCATATCTATCTATCTATCTATCTATCTATCTATCTATCTATCTATTTCATTCAACCAACCATGGGGCCATGTGGCTCCTGTATACTCTCAATGTCTACCCCAGAATGAGAAGGCCTCTCACATCTGGCCTTTTGGAAAGGCTCAATGGCACAGCGTGGACAAAATGGCCGATGCCTATCAATAGTTTCTATGGCACAGATAGGACACCGTCCTGAATATAAAGCTGTAGCTCACAAAACGATTACCATATTGTACCTAGACAGGCACCATGACTTGTTCCCCAGGGATAGACAGGAAGGTCTCACCCCGAGTAGCGGCAGTACAAAAGTCGCTCACTTACGCTCTGCCTGCTTCTTTATTTTGAGTGTCACCGTCTCTCCCGCCATCTGCAGCAAATGAATCGCCTCACTCAGCGGCTTCCCTTTCAGGCTGGCATTGTTAATGGCGAGAATGCGGTCCCCAATATGAATGGCTCCAGTCCTGGAAAACAATGAGAGCGGTTATAGTGTTTCAGGAGGTGACGATTAAGATTGGGGCCATCAGCAGCCTCTCAAACATTTCCTCGCACACCGTTAAAGGTCATATTTTCCACCCTTATTTCCATACTTCTTCTGGGTCACTTTAACTGAAATGACTGAAACCTTTGGATTGACATCAACACCCAGACAACTGGGGAGAACAACAAATGGCAGCCTATATATTTTCACAGAAGATGTCTCTTTTACAGGTAGACTTTAGTACAAACTGAACACAAAAGGGGCTGACCCAGCATTTTGCTGAGAGAACAATGTTCGTAGCACATTACTGCCACTAGATGGAGCCAGCGTGTAGGGATTTCTTCTACTTGTTAGCTCCATCTAGTGGCAGTGCTGCGAACATCTTTCACTCAGCTGTACTCTGGGTGACTGCATTATATATCAGTCCCAAAGTCTTGAGATAAATAAAAGGGAGCACAGCGACCCATGCTGGTACTCTACTGATCTGGGAACCCCTTTTGTATACCTGTTAGTAATGCAGGAGGGGAATCCACAAACACACCCACCATGGACATATCAAAGAAGTATCTCTCAGCCACCAGATTCAAACCTCCCTTGCCAGGATGGCTGACTGGTCACATATCAAGTATAGAAAGGAAATTGGGACAGCACAGGCTCAGGAAGTGGACCCACCCCACCCCTGCAAGGACTTTGTAAGGAATTACATGGTGTGCAGTGGACTTTAAGACTTCCTTCTTAGGCCCGGTTCACACCTGGGCGTTTTGTAGCGCTCTGCAAAACGCTCAAACACCGAAATCCTATTATTTTCTTATGAGTATGGTTCACACCTGGGCGTATTACAGGCCGTATGAACGCCCTACGCCCAAAGAAGTACAGGAGCTTCTTTGGGGCGTTTTTGTCGCGCTTATCCATTGGGATACAGCCAGGTAGCCCTCGGAAACGCGCTTTTCCGCGCGGTTTTTTTACCTCGAATCGCGCGACATACGCGCATATTCGATACGCCTAGGTGTGAACCCAGCCTTAACCTATAGCCCACAGGATGGTGTTTTAGGTCAGCACGGGCTGACGTCGCATGATATTACCCTAACTATGAAACCCAAAATTTCGGGAAAATTACACTTTACAAGTTAACTTTAGTGCACAAAAACACAATACGCCATTTTCTTTTAAACTATAAAAGATGAAGTTGTGCCAAGTAAATAGATCCCCAGCATGCCAAGCTCAAATGTTGTGTGCTCCTGTGAAACGGCGACACAATACGGTGTATTAGACCCAGGGCAGCCATCAGAAATGTTGGGGCCCCTTACACGGCTTTAGGCGGGCCCCCCGCGCCGCTGGGCGCAGGGCTTAGTGACGCGCTGGACGCAGGGCTTAGTGACGCGCTGGACACAGGACCCACCTGAGAGTGACCCTGCAGAGCCCACCATAGATGCTGCACAGCCCATCTGAGACTGTCTATGGTGGGCTCTGAAGGGGTCTCAGGTGGGCTGCACCCCTCCCCTCCCTCCTTTTCTTCCTTCCTTCCTTCTTAGCTCCTCTTACCTGCACACATGGCCTCGTCTGCCGCCAGACCAGCCAAAAGTGACATCACTTCCGGTCAGTCCGACATCAGACGAGTAGCGCCGCTGATGGGGCCCCAGCTTGTCTCAAAGCCGCTGGAGCGGCAATGCTGGGGCCCTGCGCTGCTAGAGCCAGGCCTCCGCCTCCTCGCCCTTCACTGTCGGCCGATAGTCATGTAAAGGACCCGGGCGGGTGAGTATCGGCCGTACCCCCCCTGATGGCTGCCCTGATTAGACCCCTAGTGTCACCTTTCCACTTCAATGAAGCTATTCAAGCTCAGATGTGCGCTGGTCTCTCTTCCCTCTACCCACCGATACCCATGATGCCGGTTCCAGGCCCGCAGAAGGGTCAGCGGAGCCCGGGAGCTGCTCTATTCATTAGAAGGAAATGTAGGCAAAGCAAAATTTGTTAACCGCAGTAACCATAAATGACAGGAAAACCCGTCTTGCAATGATTTACTGGCATCTGCTTAAAGTAAATCTAGACTCAAATCACTGAAATCTCACCTAATAAAAAGTTGCTTTTTAATCTGCAGTTTTCCTTACAATAACTAGTGATCATGTCTTGTTCAGGCACTTCCTGTTACAAGGTGACCACGCTCTGCCCAGTGTCTTCCAATTGTGCATCTTTGTTGTTACATGCTTCCCCTGACGGAAACTATAAGTGGAAATGCCAACACATTGCCCAGGCACGCTCCACTGATGTCATTATCAGGAAGGAAATCAAAAATGGAAACAAGATTATAAAACCCCAGAGTGGTTACCATACGAGGTGCTTTAGCAAACCAAACGTCATCCAGTTAGGGTTTAGATCTACTTTAGTATAAGTCAGGTTTTGTGCACAGTGTCCCCCGCCCGTGGCTCACCTCTCCGCCAGCCCTCTTTTGGTGAGACCAGAAATGACAATGGGATCAAATGGCTCTTCGGTCCCCGAGATTGTAATTCCCAGGGGACCCCCGTATCTCTTCAGCTCCACCGTGTATATAATGGCCCCCGTCGTCTCCTGCTCATCTGAAATACAAAAGCAGAGCTATTAAGAACACATGACTGCACTCCTGGTAGTTCTAAATTTAGTTGAGTTAGAGAGCACAAGCGCACTGCAATCTCTGATGGAGGGATCACCCTGGCACCTGAGCGGGATCACGCAGCACCCTGGCACCTGAGCGGGATCACGCAGCACCCTGGCACCTGAGCGGGATCACGCAGCACCCTGGCACCTGAGCGGGATCACGCAGCACCCTGGCAGCTTGGCGGGATCACGCAGCACCCTGGCCCCTGGGCGGGATCACGCAGCACCCTGGCGAGATCACGCAGCACTCCGGCAGCCGGGCGGGATCACGCGGCACCCTGGCAGCGGGGCGGGATCACGCAGCACTCCGGCAGCCGGGGCGGGATCACGCAGCACTCCGGCAGCCGGGGCGGGATCACGCAGCACTCCGGCAGCCGGGGCGGGATCACGCAGCACTCCGGCAGCCGGGGCGGGATCACGCAGCACTTGGGAACTACAAGGAGCACTCGCAATTGGAGACCTCAAAAGAGATAAGCTAGGGAGTGCCTCCACCATGCATCACCTAGCACTCTCTGACAGTTGGGCAGGATCACAGCACTCTCCAATGGAAAAAACTGTATTTTCTGATTGAAATTCTTAAAGATGCAAAATAAAATAAAATGTCAGCACGTACAATTGAAGGCCGTTCAAGTGCAAAGTTTCATACCAGAGTTGTCCTCATCCTTGCGAATCTTCAGTTTGACCAGCTCCTCGCACTGCCGCAGGATCTGCACAGCGTCCTCCATGGAGCAGTTGTCAAGACGGATGTTATCGATGGCCAACAGCTTGTCACCCGGCTCCAAGGTGCCAGTCCTGGAGAGAGAGGATAAGACCCGGCATTGGATACTTTACCCCGGAATGTCCCCGTTTTAAATCAACCCGGCTTGTGTCATGCACACGTCCAGACAGGTCAAGGGTCAGAGGTGCTACTATAGATACTTTGTCTCATAAAATCTATCACGGCTTCGGTTTTATGGCGTCTCGCCGGCCGGAAGATTTGATAAATCTCTCTCACCTCCTGCAATACCCACCTGTGCGCCACACTGCCCTTCTTGATGTCAGAGATTATTAGAGGCTCTCCTGGTTTTCTGCTGGCTGTAAGGAAAAAAGAAGCATTACGATGTGCACACCTACTGAACATCACATAAGTCAATGCGCAATGGTCACTGCACATCCCTGGTACCCAAACTGCGGCCCTTTGAGTTATTGTGCGGCCCTTGGGGGCCCCTGCAGATAGTATGGCCCTTGTGGGCCCATTAGTCTGCATTGTGGTGCTTATTCAAGCCAGTGAATGAAAACTATTTTTTATAGCAGTGGTGGGCAACTCCGGTCTATACTCTTATACTATGTCTGCAGTCTCTGACCATCTCCTGTACTATGTCTGCACTCTTTGACCATCTCCCGTACTAGGGCTGCAGTCTCTGACCATCTCCTGTACTATGTCTGCACTCTTTGACCATCTCCCGTACTAGGGCTGCACTCCTCTCCTAGGGCTGCACTCCTCTCCTCTCCTAGGGCTGCACTCCTCTCCTCTCCTAGGGCTGCACTCCTCTCCTATACTAGGGCTGCACTCCTCTCCTATACTAGGGCTGCACTCCTCTCCTATACTAGGGCTGCAATCCTCGCCTATACTAGGGCTGCACTCCTCTCCTATCCTATCCTAGGGCTGCACTCCTCTCCTATCCTAGGGCTGCACTCCTCTCCTATCCTAGGGGTACAAATCCATTCAAGTCTCTGCGAGTGAAGTCTGCGGCCATCAGTCTTGCAATGCCTCATGGGACTTGTAGTTCCACAACAGCTGGAGTGCTGAGGTTGCCCTGCTGCATATATTGACCTATCAGGCATGCATCCATGCAGACACTGAAGCCACTAAAGACTTCCTATTCCTCTCTTATGACAGGTTCCCTTTGCGCTGGTTGATATTTGGGTACGGGATGACATGTTTGCATATGTGTTGGGCCCATTGCTATGCCAGACAGTGTCCGTGATGCCCCCCGGGCAGAAGTAGCGACAGGCAGAGGCAATAAATCACTGAAACAACAGAACTCATCCTTCCGCAGGGACTGGAAGACGGCGCAGGAAGAATGGAAGGGGAGATTGATGCTGCACTGATAATAGATGTCTAATTAATTCAACGTCTCCTCTGCAGGGAAGGATGATGAACGAGGGGAAGGGGAGTCCGGAGGCGGCTGTGGATTCCCGCATATGATGGCCGGTTGGAGGGAAAAGAAGCCCCTGGGCTCCGGGGGCTCTCAGAGGGAACCGCTAAACGCATCATAATTCACAGCGCGGGGGCCCCTCCCAACACACACAGCGCGGGGGCCCCTCCCAACACACACAGCGCGGGGGCCCCTCCCAACACACACAGGGAAATGATCGCAAAAAAGCACACAAAAAAAAAAAAAGC